TGGAACGCTTATAAATAATAAATATATCATATAATATAATATATATATATATATATATATATATATATATATATAATATATAATATAATAATGTATATTATATATAATTTTATATATATTTAATTTTATATGTAAATTATATATAATTTTTAGAAGACCAGTCGCTTTTGGATCTCGATACGTCTAGCATTGAGAAAATTCTCCGAGTGCGAAGGGCTTCTCTTTAAATCGCTGTTGCGGTTGAAACGATCGGGGAACTCACCTCTTTGAATTCGGCCACCTGTTTCTGAGTGAACATAGAAAACACACTGGACCCAGTGCGTTTCGCTTTTCGACTTCCACGACTGCTTGCTCTGGTCGAGCCAGATTCCTTCGGTGTGCTGGTAGGAGTTGCTGGTTTCTCCTCTGGAGGTGGTGCTGGTTCCGGTTCCGGCGCGGGAGCCGGCGCCGGCTCCTCCTTCTTTTTGGTCTTCTTCTTCTTCTCCTTATCCGCCTGCAATTGTTCGGCCAATCAATCATAGTAATTGGTATAGTAATGGTATAGTAATAATAATAATAATAGTAGTAGTAGTGGTATAGTAATAATAATAATAATAGTAGTAGTAGTGGTATAGTAATAATAATAATAAATGAAGTGAGTCGCAGGAGTATTTGTACCGTACTCATGATTTTCAATAATCAGTTATCATGCATTAAAGGCGAAAGTTGGTTTCTTCGGGAGATTGCAAATTCTCATACAATTCTGAACAATTCTTACCAGCTAATTTATATAGCAGCTTCTTCTATACAATAGCTTTATTAGTAGACCGCGAATCTTTATCTATATTTATGATGTACGTAAATTTTGAGAATTACAACAAAAAGGAATGGGAGTTAATTATTTCGTTTCGTTTGTTTGGTTTAATTCCGCTTGTGACACTAATCCAGTCATACTGTATTCTAAAGTTATCCTTGAATACATTTACTAACTATTAAATACTAAACGTAGCTATTAAATCAAATTACAATTTACTTATCGATCGATTTCAGTAAAAATTAATCTCATAGTTTTATTTTATTTATACCGCAAGGTATCTTTTAATCAATGAAAGAAAATTCACGTTGATCGGATGAGAACAAAATGGACCGAGAATACCGAATAAATTTTTAAATACATCGTCCCTGTGAAAGCATCGTCTACAGATTTTGTTATAACGTAACAAAAACCATTCTGTTATGTTCTTAACTTATTTTCAAAAATATATCTACCATAAATACGAAGTCACCCTCTATACAAGATTAAAAATTCAAATATACGAGAAACAGTAATAAAATTTGCAATAAAAAAGATAGATAGTGGATTCTAATTATTCGAATGATCCAATTGTCCTAAACGCTTTGTCTCCCGAAGAATGCGCACAAATGGTATCTATATTTATCGGGCTAAGAATTGCGTCAGATTGGTTTCATTCCCCCCACAGTGACGTTAATAATAAACACAATCACTTCCTATTCAATTGGACCACCTATCTAATTACACCACGAATCTTTTTATAATATTTGTTAACTGTAAATTCCGATTTTTGTATTCTATCCTGCAAAATTAGTTCCACGTAACGTTCTTTAAAAAATCTATTACAATTGAGAAATAGATAAAAGTGCATTTTACTTTTTCCCAATGTGCTTACTTTCGTTCTTTTTTTCTACAAATATTTAATATTTGAAATATCGTTACAGCATTTCTTTTAACGTCGAGAAGATTAGATCAATTTCTGACAAATCTAAATATCGTTGTCCCTTAATAGAAATATGCCCTTGTTTTCTATCTTTTATGTTAGATTATTCTTAACAAATTATGATGATACGCTGATTCTGTGTGCAAATAATTTTAAACGATCACATTGCGATGCGAAAATTTGTGAAATTCTAGGACACGTTGAATTCGTAACTAAATCGCGAATCTTCGTGAATTGATTTGACGTGAAATGTGAGAAAGTTTTATATTAACAAAAATTAATAGCATTTTCAGTTTGGTTTCGCTTCGATAAATCCACGAATCGACGAAAGAAACATCGCTCTCGATTCGATGTTTAAAAATCGATTTGACAAAGATTCGCAATCCACACGTAACTCGAGAAGTTAATTAATAAAGCATCCCTTCGTTGTTACGATAGTTATTGGAAAATGAATATTTCCACATCGCGCAGAAATAAATCAGTTCATATATATAAACTATTGGAAAGTAAGCCGACATAACAATTCATTCATTTGTTTAAACAATTAAGTATTCGAACGCCTCTCAACTTGCGGGGAAAATAAAAATAAAAGTAGTTTATAAATTAAATTCATGGAATAAATATGAATTTTATTTGATTTATTCGTATATAACATTCGTGTACTTATATAAAGTACGTGTAAATTAGAAAATATTAGATATTTGCGTATAATATTATATTGCGTATAAATTAGAAAATAACGTTTCTATTTATATGCTCATAAACTATGTTTACGTAACCGGTACAAAATACTAGTACGTTCGATCACAGTTTATTCGAATTCAAATTTCCGTAAAGAACAAACATAATGTACAAATTCCAAACGAACCGATCTTTATATTAAATTGTTTACAGCAACGTGAACAACTCGTATCGAACGCGTCGAGATCGAGCACTTTTACCACGAAAAGATTATAATCGAATGCTTATTTACGAAAACGCTCGAAGCAACGTATTTATAATAAAAAACAAAAAAGAGAACTACTTTCAATGTTTAAGCGTAGCGCGCGATGAATCGCGCGAATCTCTTCGTAGATTTGAAATAACAATCGTACAGGAAGGAAAAAGAAGCTGTCGCGATGGGGTAACGGTTAAACGATAAATCCGTGACATAACAATTATCTAATATTCCGGCAATGCCGGGACAACGTAAGTATCGCCGAGGAAAATTTGGAAGGCGTTACTCATAAGGACTAATAATAGAATCTTTCTATCACCCGTGACTGAAAAGAAGCCAAGACATATATAGACCGTTTACTCGTAGCCGCCTCTCGAGTTACTACAGTTACGTAATTTTCTTATTTTTGCGTTATGCACGGCGATCTCGCAAACCGGCAGGATCGCCGAAGTTCGTCCGAAGCCTCTGACCGACGATCGGTTCGCAGGAAGCTCGGTTTCGTAGAAAGATTCGCAGAAAGACCGACGATTTCCTAGCTCGTTCAAACATCTACGTATCGCGGAGATTGTACACTAACAGCAAATACGGTTCGCGAGCAACAAATATCCGCGTTTTTGCCGAACGTTAGCCCCCTTCTTACAACTCCGCCATGTTTAAATGTCTCTGTTCGCCGCGAACATTGAACACCGAACAAGCTCGTAAAGGGTTGAAACCGAGAATCGTGCTTCGTTATAAGTAGTCCGCTGTTAAAGATTAGGGGGGCAAGACTTTCGTTGCGTTAAACCGAATAGAAATCCCAGCTGGAACGAGGTCTTCGAAAGCTGAACACAAATATTAGGTCAGCCCATAAAAGTAGCCCGAGGGATTATTATTGCCCGTGGAAAGACCGGATCCCGTGGAGCGTTACTTTGTGACAGATTCGTTGAACTTAAGCGTGATTTCGCGGAACTTGGAGCTTGGATCCAAGGATTTAAGTCGGGGATCGAGGAACCCGTTCGATCCGCGAGCAGGAGCGAAAACGGTTTCCCTAGGTCCGCGAACAACGGGGATTCACTGGTGGATGAAACGGCGAAGGTTCGAGCCAGGAATCTAAAACGCGAACCACTGTTTTTCACTGCCTGAACACAACCGACCCGCGGCGATCCCGTCGCGAGTTTTGCACACGGACGGCGACGGGTTCATCACTCAGTCTCGGGCACAGTTTCGGCGATCGGCCGATCGCGACCGCTGGAAATGAATCGCGATCGATCCCGAACGTCTTATAAACCACCACTGGTCTGTCACAGGCGTGTACATTTGTTATCGAACATTCCCTGGGATTTCTTTTCCCAATTCGATCTCGCAGGATTCTCACTGATTCTATAGAGGGTAATTCGCTCGCGACCGTTCCCCGGATCGTGCGCGGTAATCAAGCGTAAAGTCACAACGGCGTCCGCGGTGCACGCCTGCACCTTACTTACCATGTCTACAGTTGGTTTGTAAGAGGATGGTGCGAGATGGTCCGAGCGAACCAACTGTCCAAGTCATAGAGGTGAACTTGTCTAAGTAACTTTGGTAGATCTCCCCCACTACAGGGCCGGTGCCTGAGCAGGGGTGTCTTGCCCGGGTACAACGCCAACGCCTATCTGACCATATTTAGTGCGAGCCACCTCAAAATAGCAACCCTTTCGATGTTTCGACTAAAACAGTTTGCTCAGGATTGTGCGACCGACGACGTGTCTTGCCCGCTGCGGCCCTTTTTCGCAGCCAGTCTATATGCTTTCACCCACGAAAATATGAGTCAAGGGTATCCCGGAAGAGGATGCCTGCGCACAGTGCGCGCACAGTGATCTAGGAAGCGGTACTTTTCGACGAAAACAGAATTTCTCAACCGTTCTCATATGGCCTCGCTAATCGGTCCTTTCGATCGATCGCGATCCCACGGCTCGTTCGAATAAGAAATATCGATTCCCTCTGGCCCCGCGATCGGAGATCACTTCTTTTGGCCACGACACCGTGGAATAACAATTCTTTCGATTATCCTTTATGCTAGATAGTTGTGTGGGAGTGTGCGACGTAGCTCGACGAGCAGCTGTATTTTATGTTTAATTTTATTAAATTTTTTTTTCATATATTTTAAATAATAATAATATTACAATAATAATAATTAATTAATAATATTATAATAATAATAATAAATTAATATTATAATTATAATAATAATATATAATAATTGGTGACAATCCGAACGTCGGGGAAGGTTTGAGAAGGATGTGGACAAGTGTTTGATCTCTGGCCTCTTTCGTATGGACGATCGAAGAATTGCTGGGGACATTTATGAATTTCAAGTGCCAGTTCATCGAAGTTATATCGTTCCGCGCGGATTCGAATAAAATAGACGCTCGGCGTCTAAACGTCGCGTTCGCGTAGTGGCTCGAAGAGCGAATTCTTGTCAGTCGAAACACAATTCTTCGATCTCGATTTGGCTACTGTGAAAATGCAATTTTTGTAGGAAGAGAATGTAGAAACAGCAGTTCGTCGGAAATTCGTTTCTCGTAGGGGGATACTAAGCAATCGAGCCTTATTTCGAATTTCGTGCGATTCGCATGTATATCATTTCTTTATATATTCATCCGACCCATTGAGTTATGAGCGAGGAGATTTTTTTCGTAATTTTATAGTCTTGGGCAGAGTATGTGTAGCTAAATGAATTTTTTGTAGAAATTCTAACGATTGTAAGTTAGCTATACTTATTTGTTTATATATTTACCCTCTTTTATATTATGTAATATAATGTGCAATATATAAATTATATCAGTAAGTTCGAACGAATGATATTAAAATCTCGTGGAATTCGTAGAACGGCTGATTCCATTAAATTATTTAACGATACTCAAGATATTTTTAGAACCATACTGGAGAACAAATAATTTCAAAATCGAATGCAGCTTCTAAACGAAATCCTGAAATGTGATCGATAATGTTGTAAATTATTATTTAAACAGTATTAAACAGTAGCTTCAGCTTGTATCTCGATGTTTTATGTCAACTGTATAAAACATTTCATCTTATATTTAAAGTGACATGAAATGTTTTATACAGTTGACATAAAACATCGAGATACAAGCTGAAGCTACTGTTTTTTTGGTCACAAAAACGTCGATTTTTAGACCACTGTGCAATGATTATATAAAATATAACCCAGTTATTGACAATTTTATTCTTTTATTATTATTATTATATTATTATAATATTATTTTATTTATTTATTATATATTTTATATTATATATATATAATATTATTTATTTATTTATATTATATATTTTATATTAATTATTTATTATATAATATTATTATTATTATTATATTATTATTAATGGTATTATACTTTATATCGACGCAAATGTTTCTTGCCGCTTTTCCCATAAGGAACCATGCACATTCCGGCTCGAATTATCTGTTCCGTCTAAATGACCGTATAACGCCAGAACACGTAGTGGCAAAATGCTCAAACTGATAGCCAAATTTATCGGCAAAGATTTTTTAAAACTTTCCGCTAGGTGGCGATAATAAGCAATTCCTGGAATTTGCCATGAGCGCCACCACAGTTACCGTTTGTGGTTATTTTCGCTAACAGTTTGAGCGTTTTGCCACTACGTGCATTGGCGCTGTACAAACATTTAAATGGAGCAGATAATTCGTGCCGAAATTAACACGGTCTCTCATGGGGAAAGCGGCAAGAATTATTCGCCTACACATAAATAATACTAATAATGTAAAAATTCAAATTGTGTGAATGGAAAAATGAACACGATATTGAAATATGATGAATGAATACACCATGCGTCATCGGAGAAATTGAGAAGTGGAAGTAACAATTTTATGAACGATCTAAATTGCAAATGACCAAAAAACATATTTTCTATTATAATGGAACTGAAAATCTTGTAGCGTGTTAATTACGATGGCGCATACTTTAATAAATACATTTTACTTCGACGAACATGATGTTTATTTAACCCGAGAAAGATAACCTACGTCGCAGAGGCGCCTGCGAAGATTGTTGATTTTTGTTAATTTTTCATAGAGGTCTAGTGATTTAAGTTTAAAATTACTTAAAATATAAAAAAATATAATATAAATGCATTTTATTTTTACAATAATGCCAAACCTTTAAAATGACTAGATTAACTTAAATAAATATCCATTGTTAGTATAAAATTGACGCCTTAGAAAAGCATGCGCCTCTGAAGCGTATGGTTATCTTTTACGTACGTTGTCATATGGTTATCTTTCTAGGGTTAAAGTTGCTGTCAAAAATCAGATATTTCATATGTAACAGATAGAATGATCTATTAATCTCATCGCTATTAAAAGTTGTATTGTACTATAACAGCTGCCTGCACGTTAAAATAATTTCGACAGACAAGAATTCGAAAGACAATTTTTATTTGCTAATTCATTATACTTCGCAAGGATTTCCTGTGTACGTATGTATGTGCCTCGCGCACACCAATGTCCAATGTGCTTAGTTACCATAAATAACTGTCCGATATTCGAGAGCAGAAAACATCGATGTATTTAAAATGCATCGTTCAAGTTCCAAGACTGTACGATCATCTTTTATATTAACAAAGCATTTTCTGTTTCTCTGTCTTGAATTAAACTTTCTTCCTAATTGACATTATATTTTTTGTTATTGCTCCCTTCACAACAATTGTTTATAATACGCAGGAGAAAATGTAGAAAACCATTTTACAGTATTGCATTTCAATTTTGTATTTCCGAGATCGAGTATCGTTCATATTTATACATTTTGTCTAAATAAAAATCATTTAAACAGTTAGGGAATGCAAAGAATGTCCTAAATTCCAGAGGTTCTGGCAACATGAATAATAAAATGGTAACATAAATACATAGTTAGGAAAAAATAGTAAACTGATACTAAGAAAGAAAACAATAATTATTTTTAGCAGTTCTATATTAAGAAACCCTCTTACTCGGAGGGATTAGTATTTACGCGCTGCTTATTAAAGTACTTCCCAATGTATATGTATGTGTATATTTATATGTATACCTGCATACACATGTCTTCTTTTTTAATAGTAAATTGTTCAAAAATAATTAGTAATTTTTTCGATTACTTTTATTCTATCAACTATTAACTATTATTAAATTTCAAACGACCGTTGCACAATTTATTCTCCATCTTATTCTCCGACTTCGTTATCAACGTGAATGGTAAATCTTAAAGCAAAGAAAATAGATATCGCGAGAAGACTAATCAGTAGATTGCGGATCTTTAAGCATAATACTAATTTTCTTCATCAATTGCAACAGATACAGCAGCCACAAACAAAAGTATCTTTTCTTTTTTAATAATTGTAATTGGTAAGTATATTTGAGATATCACCTAATTGTTACAAATTTTATTTAAAATGGAACTTTCAATATTCTATTAAAAAAAAGCATTCGCTTTCTATTTAAACACGGTTGCTAAAGACAAGCGTCAGTTCATTTTCGAGGTCACTTCAAGGTCACTGTATAAGTCATTGAACTCGTTCTGATGCTACAACGTTGTATTATAGAAAATTGATGTTGATAAAAAGAGAAACTATCAAAATGATTTTCTTAGGATTTTGTCGTCACTGCCATGCATGTCTCAAGAACATTTCAATCATAATGAGTCACAAGTGATTATAAAAACAAGTTCTGTTGTGTAAAGCCCATGTGCACTACCTTATATTGCTGTAGTTTCTTTTTATAGTAATTGTTCATATACTTTCTTAGTTACTTTACATGATTTTCGTTTATTAATTTGATAACAATTTTAATATTTCGGCTTTACTTGTAATTGTATGCATGAAGGTCATTGTTCTCTTTTCCACAGGTCTCCCACCACAAGCGCGCGAAGACATGAGAAAGTAAAAGTCGCTTTGCCTTAGTCAGTAGAGTCAGTACTTATCATTCTAAAGTAACAGTTTCTCGTAGTATGGGTTAAAGTCAGACTGTCAAGTTCTGACATATGATTCTCTTTTTAAAAGAAATGCTTTAGATAATATTTCTGAACGAAAAAAAAAACCATGTGGTGGCTTATTCTATTAAGTTATAGTAAGTAAAATTCCATAGAGGATAAAACCATTTATTCCGCTTTGATACATGTTTAGGAATTGTCAAAGATTAAGATATTGAAAGGAAAATGATCAAAGGATGAAACCTATTTGCACAAAAATAGAAATTAAATAAGAATCGAGTTTCATTGTTTCACATTCAATTTTCGTACATAATTCGATCAAGTATTCTATTATAATATTAAATTACCTTGCTGCAGTAACTGTTGCACATTCATTACGTCTCGCGGCGTATATTTCATCTGGCGGTCTGCACGGAGAAATTCGATTCGAAAAAGCCACGGACACGTCTGTGAGAATTCGGTTTTCCCTTCAAGCTACTTTGCAATATCCGGATCAACAATGGTATTGGTCAATTACTCAGTTTCCCGTTGATTATACGCTTATAAATAATAGATGCGACGAACGATATCTTGGAGAAAAGTATGTATGCATTTCCAATTTTGTTGAGAACACTTTTTCATTTAATAAAATTGTTTGAAAATAATCTTACCAATTTCGTAGTGTTATAGATCTTACAGAATTAATTGGACCGTTAGATCTGCCTGGAAATGAAACTGGAGTAGTGGAAGTTCCAGGTATAAGTTTAACAGGAAAAATGGGTTTATGGGGTAAAGGCTTAATACTTAGGGACACATACTCATCTAGGATCATCTGTGCTTCGATCACGGTATTTTTCCAAATAAATGAAATCAAACCCACTTTTACCCCTTTTTTAGATTCACATTTTTATATCAATAATATTTTAGGTGCTGGAAAAAAATGTAGAAAAAGTTGCAAGAGCACAATTCTATGGGCCCGTAGCTGGAACTGTTTGGTTCCGATGGCTAGGCAGTAATACTGGTGATAATACTACTAATGCAATAATTTATACAGATCTGCATCATGTTAACAAACAGAAATTGCAAAGCATAGACTATACAGAGCATTATTGGAAGATTTATGTAACTGATATTTTCGACATTGGCAAAGGTTGATTTTTTCATAAAATTTATAACATTTGATTTATGAGTTTCTAATAATCAACTTTTCATAAATTAATGTTTCATTATAATGCAGATAAATCAAGTTGCAATATTCTACAAACTGTTTTTGATCCTGATAATGCTGGTAATGGAAAAGGTATTGGTGACATTGATGTGCGTTTAGGCAAGATAAAGGTAGCTACAAATCATAACAAAAGGTATAAAACTTTGTACAGAGATTCAGAACTATCTCTACTACCTGCTGATTTACTTGGTCCTCATCGCCTCATATACTTAGTAATCTTTCATCCAACACACGATGATTCCTTCCTAGTTTGTACCAAGATCAATCACTGGAAAACTATGTCTACCAAGTAAGACCTTGTAAAAGTATTTCAAATTTTAACTTATTTAAAACTATCTCTATTACGTATTTTGCAATATAATCCTGTTATTCTGTGATCTGTATGTGATAGAAACTTTTTAATACTTCTCCTTAGAACTTTAATAAATTCTCATGGTATAAAAGGAGAGATGACATTGACTCAAGTAACACCATTTGAACCAACATGGGTTAATATATCCTTAACACCAGTAAATGATTTGGAAACAAGATTACGATATGCTACTAAGATAAAATCATATAAAATTCATGAATTACCTCCAGAAACGACAAAAACTGTAAGCAACACTGCTGTTGTATGTAATGCTACTGGGAAAGTATACAATCCAAGTCATATAGATGAAACAACAATACCACCAGCAGGTAAACATTCAATTAAGTCAGACTTCAATCATTTATTTGATCATAAGCATATATTCTTTTTAAGTATGTATGTATTTTAGGACTTGGAACTCAAGATCAATATGCTATTGGAGATCTCTCTGGAAAACTTCAAGGACGCAAAGAAGGATCATACCATAATGATATCTTATCGGGAAGTGCCAAACTCATTGGAATTTATTGGGATACATATCTTCCACTTTCAGGAATTTACAGTGTAACTCATAGAAGTCTTGTTCTTCATAAGTAATATTCTACATACGTTTTATTTTTTATTTTTCTTTTTATGATATTATACATATATTTTTCTTATTAGGTATAATGAAACTGATAATATTAGTATAATGCCGTGGGTATGTGGAATGTTAAGTCCCCATTTACCAGATAATAGCGGGCAGATGGCAATGATAACAGCACAAGTAATATACAGATATCCTATTGTTGGAAGGATAACATTCCGTCAACCACAAAACGATCCTCAAATGGACACAACTATTATAATTGAATATTTAGTGCATGCAGATGGTAATGCTTTAAACAACTCAGCATTGCATAGGTACAATATGTAGCTATGTTTATTTAAAATTATGTTTACAAAAATTTACATAAGGAAACTTAAAAGATAAAATTTCATATATATTTAGATGGATGATTCACGATAATGCACCAGGGAAAGATTACTATAATTGGACAGGTAGATGTTTGAGTGCAGGAGATCCTTATAATCCTTATAAGGTATAATAGCATGATTATAAATGTGATAGTTATGTAACTTACAATACTCAATCAAACAATTTTCTTAATATTTTGTGTTGAAAATTATTAGGCAGAGTGGGATTCAAAGCATTCTGAACATTGTTCAATAGATGAGACAACATCGTGTAGAGTAGGTGATTTAAAAAGACATGGTACAATCGATATTGCTGGAAGAAAACTTTATGCATCTATTTTAACTAGAAAACTCTTTACGGATACACTATTATCTTTGTCTGGACCTAATAGTATTATAGGGAAAAGTTTAGTTATATATGACGATAATGGACCACGTGCAAGAGGAGAAAGACTAGCATGTTCAATGTATGTACACACAATTTAATACAACTTAGAAATGTAAAAAATTATTCTTACTAAATAGTATTACTGATACTAGTAAACTTTCTATTTAGAATTAGCAAAGTATACCGTCGTAAAGCTGTAGTAAAAGATTGGTTTGGAAATGGAGAAAATATTTCGTTAAGAGGAAAATTGGAATTCATACAACAATCCGAATATGATGTTACAAATGGAGAAATAACTCTTGATGGTCTCAATGGAAAAATGAGTGGATATCATGTACACATGGTAAATGTTACAAAATTAATCACTTTCATTTTTTATAATACTAATACAGTTTATATATTCTAGACTTCAGTAGAACATGATTTAGAGTTCCCCTGTGAAGGCACATCTTTGTATGGTCACTGGAACCCATTTGGTGTAAATATAAGTAATGGTACACCACAACCTGGAGAAGGAACAAGTGACCAATATGAAATGGGTGATCTCAGTGGAAAATTTGGAACTTTAGAAAACAGAAAAAGATATATATCAACTTTTAATGATACAATGCTTCCATTATTTGGACCAAGAAGTGTGCTGGGTCGAAGCATAGTAATTCATAAAAAAGAAAAGAACATAAGGTTACTATAATTTAATATAGAAATTATAAATAATATTGACTCGTCTATTAATTTGTATTAATTTTTTTAATCTTTCTAAAATAAATGATCGTTGATAATTTGTTCTATTATTTTATCATTTAGATGGGCATGTTCAACTATAGAACGAGGATATTCACCATCTGAAGCTAGCGAACTTAGAGCTATTGCTTCTTTTCATCATCCACAAGGATTTGCATATGGATACATAAAAATGGTAAAATAATAAATTGAGGAACTACAGAAGTATAGATTTCGTTTATCATAATAAATAATTTCAGACGCAACTAGTACATAGAGATGGTGCTGAAAGTGAAACCATAATCGAAGTAAAACTTCGTCATCCTGGTAAACATGATCGTAATATTGTAAGTAATATAAGCAAGTAGCAACACAAATAGTAATATATCTTACAATAAATATAAAACAATCTTACAAAACTATTTTTTATAAAAGAATGATACCATGTGGTATAAATAATTTTTGTGTGTGGAAAAGTAGAAAATATTCAATTCATGGCTTATCATTAATTTAATACAGTAGTGTAATGTTTGTTAACCGATTATAATTGATATTGTACACTTTATTACAGACAAAAAATCATAACTGGGCGATATATGTAAATCCAGTTGGTGTGGATGCATCTGTACAAGTAAAAGACACTAGATGTGTAGCAGGTGGATATATATGGAATCCCCATTTTACTCAATTGGCAGACCCTCTAAACGTATAACTAATCAAAATTTGCTTTATATTTAATATGAAACCAACTAATATAAAATATAATACAGTAAAGTGAGCTTGATGTTATTTTATAGGATGACCTATATAAGCAAGAATGTGGTTCTGATTTACCATTAAGATGTTACATAGGAGATTTATCAGGCCGATTGGGATCCATTAACATAGGATTAGAAAGACAAGTTTTTACAGATTCAAATTTTCCTTTAAGTGGATCAGTATCAGCTATGGGAAGATCTATCGTTATTTTCGATCAAAATTTTGGAAGCAATAGATTTGCTTGTGCTAATATTGAACCAGATAATGATATTGTGAAATATGCAAACATAAGGAAACCACCACGTTTTGTAGTGTTAGTATAACATATTGTATTGAATCGTAAAAATTAATTTTCAATGGAAAATTTTAAACAAATTTTCTTATTTCTTTAATATAGGGCACAATTTTTAGAAGATGTACGAAAAGTTATGGGAATCCCTGAATGGATGTTATCTATAGATAATAGACAAACTAAAACTTTACATAATGGAGCATGCATTCAATTTCTATTACATTTTAAAGGTACTTATGCTTCATTTGAACTTGTCAATTTGATGAACAAATAATTTATACCTTTACATACAATAGGTCCACTTGTCAATAAAATGGAAGAAGATTTTAACAAACTTATGTCTACTGGACGATTAGAAACACCAAGTTTATACATTCCAGGATATGTTCCAACAAAACGTAAAGCTACTTTAGGTTATCGACAATGTGGAAGTCGAGATCCAAATGACAAAAGTAAAAACTACATAGAATAAAAATGAAATACTCATAATTCATCTATGAAAGTAATAATATAATTTTATTACTTTTAGGTTCTAATTTTTCAGGATCAAGTACATCTCCACAAATTCCATCACAGCTAATATTAATTTTGATTACATTCTTTATAAGTTATAGCATAAATGGATTATAAATTACATTCCAAAAATTTTACTTAAAGTTGATATGTCTTAAAGATATTTAGTAAAAATTGTTACAGTATTTTAATATTCAAATAATGTTCAAATAAATTATATACTATCCAGATAATTGGTTCGATATTTAAAAAATTACAGCAATGATAATACTTTTAGAGCATTCTAAGGATAAAACCTTGGATCACACATATATGTATAGTCCAAGGATAAAACTGAGAAATGTGATACGTTATGTATTTAATAAATATTTGATATAGTTAATGTCTATAAAATTAGAG